AAATTAGTCTCATTGGGGAAAATATACCCTTGGGGCAAAATATGTATTAAACTATATAGAAGGAATAAATAACACTTGGATGATGCTACACAAAATCTGCTGGTTTTTTCCTCATAAGGGAAGTTTCTTGTGTCAACAGAAATGATGAGGGCAAAGCTTTGCAGTCTGCACAGGTCATCCGTACAGAACTAAAGGCGTAATTTGGGATTTCACAACTCTATCTCCCAGCGGTCCAAAAAACTTTCAAACAAATATATTTGTAAGCCCCCTCCCCCCAAGACCTACTCTCATCATGTAGCTAAGCCTTAAGGAAGCAGATTGCCCAGGAAAGCAAGTGTGGATGAAATTTGACGGAGCACGTAGTGTCTTGGGAACATTTTCCAAAGCTCTGCACATATCCAAACAGAGAATATAAGAATAAGAAGTGTGTGCATGATGTGCTGTCCTTTTACAATTTTTTTTGACATGAAACTATCTTTTAAATCCACTTAGGTAATTTCCACGCCTTTCCCAGAATACGGTATAAGGCAGAGCTCGGAAAGGTGAATCCTAATGGATGCCGCTTTGGTAACCAAGCCTTCCTGGTAAATACGCTGACATAGAACCGAATGGAGATCATTCACATGAATGTGAAGATAGTGACAATCAGTATAGAGAGTCTAAATGACCTTTTGGGGGTTAAAAATAGTTATTTTGAGAAGGAAGATGGAAGAAGAGTGAAATATTTTTGTCACTGATTAAAATAAGACACTTTTCTACTTATCTCACCCCCTTAAGGCATCTAGGAAAAGCAAAATAAATTATGGAGTTAATAGTGGAGGGATACAAACATTATAAATTAAAAATCACTCCTGTTGTTGTTGCTACAACACAAATTGCCAATACATTTGCTATGTGTGTATCTCAGATAAATTTAATGAACTCAATTATAGGAACAATTGCCTACTTATCTCTGATATGTTATTTCTTATAACTGCGTGAGCTTTCCAAAGATGTCCTAAGCTCAAAGGGTTGAATTTAGATTCTTTATTTGCTTATAAGTGCAATAAGGATACTGTGTTCAGCTCAGGGATGCTCTGTAGGTCCACAAGCCCCTTTCCCCCCTCCTTCCTGAAAGGCAGTGCTAAACTGGGGAAATACAGAATCTTTCTTTTGATGCATGACATCACTCTGCCTACGAACCTGGGAGTATGAAGTGGTAACTCAAATTACCGCAACTTGTACCCACTAACTAGGGTAAGCCATGGACACCAGGAGAGTTTGCCCTTTAATTAGTTCTGCACCCATACTTCTTTCTTCCTGTAGCTCCATCTCTGCCCCTTTCTCTTTCTCAAACACACACACACACACACACACACACACACACATAGCCCTACATACTCCCTAGAAGAAAGCAGCATTTTACATAAGATTTTGGTTTTTAAAATGTTCTTTTCTAGTTAAAATTCCATGAAATCCCTGACATATTTTAAGGCACACCAGGAAACTAAGCATAACATTACCAAGATGAGTTGCAGTGAGGTCATAAAGCAGTTAGCGTTCTTCACATTAGATTCCTAAACCACCATAAATGCATCTATGCCTGGATCTATCTTGAAGCTTATATTTTAAACAATCCGTGAAAAGTATATCCAGACCTTTACGTGTTTGGGAGAAATTAGCATGCAGCTAACACAAGGTCAACCTTTGCCATCTGTACTTGTTCACAAATCCCTTTGCCCTAAAAGCAGGTAGATTGGCTCCAGTTACGCAGCATTAGGGGAACATGGGCTTCAGTCAGTCCAGAGTGGAATTTGGGGAGATGAGAAGCTACTCAGAATTATCAGCGTTTTGTGGCTGGTTCCTTCTCCGGTTAGTGGTGGAAGTCCACACATACAATTGTACCAGAAACAATGATGATTTTGATGGAGCTCGGGCTAATTATCTCCTGGAGCCTTCTTGGAACACCAGTTTAGGGTCTTTTCTGCAGTACAATTCTAAGAGCTGATCTCAGTTAGGGTGGCTGTGTTCCTTTAAGCTCACCATTGGAGGAGGGGGAGAGGATTGATTATTTATCTGACCCCTTAATAGCTCTAAATACCAACTGAATATCTTAAACAATTAACTTCTCAGGTCTCATGCCAGATAACACGTGGCTATTTGCTTCTTAGACTTCATGTGCATAGCTTAGGGAACAAACACTCTTGAACAACTGGAAAGGTATCTCACGAGATCTTGCAAAGAGGAACAGCTCTCCTTCCAAATTTGAACCCAGGGTATGTGCTAAAGATGGTCGGTTGGACCAAAACCATTGCTATTCTTATTATCTTTCCTACAATATTTACAGAAGAGAACAGAAATGTGAATTTCACTGATTTATTTGCAGGGATGAAGGTCAGAGTGTCAAACTGCAGATCTTGGGTCCTCAATAATGGGCCACTGTGTCTAACCTCCTCCACTGCTTTTCCCCACTTATAAGGAAGGAACAAAATAAAATGTTTTGTGGAAGTTTATATTGAAATGAGGTCATGTAAACTAATGACTGCTTGGTATTTTATGACAAGTTTTATAACCTTGGAGTTGCCGTAACTTTCAAATGATCATCAATAAAGTTTTATTGCGAAAGGGTCGCCATGTGTCTGAATGCTTTTGCACATAGTAAAGGCCTGCTGCCCCATTGGCTTAACCCACCAGCTCCTTTTCACCCCAGTCATAAAGTTCTCTTTTTATTGAAGGTTGAAAAGTCCTGAAGGCTGTTCTCCTGCATCAGGTTGACAATTCGGGGACTACATGGATGTTATTTATTTGTGATTAAATAATGTATATGACTAAATTTGAACGAATATGTAATAAGACTTCTAAATTTAGATTTTAAATGGACTCAAAAAAACCCAAATGATGGTCTTGGGTAGGGGGGCGGGGGGGCGGGGGGGGAGTGCCTGACAATAGTTTACTCCGGAAACTCCTGTTTGAATGCTAGGCTACCTATATCTGTAGACCCCAGAGGGCAGCCATTAAATAATTAGGCACTTAGGGATGGAGAATTGTCTCAAAGACCAAACAACAAGTTACTTAAGACTCTTCTGGCAGACCAGAGGACCTTGAGGATTGAGGAGACCTCTCGTCCTATCTTGAATTGTTCCAAAGGACGGAAGGAGGACTGGATCCGGGCTCTGGCTTGCCTCATTGCCCCCAAACACATTCCCAGAAACGCTCCCCAGGGCCGAACCAAGAACTCAAGTGTCTAACCCACAGCGTCAGCTCTCAGGTTCAAGTTCAAGTCCTCCGGCGTACATCGGGGCTTCCTTGTCTGCTGTTAAATTTTATGTGGAAATGAAGCCGAAAATAATGTCCTGAGATGTGGATGAAGAGTGCTGTAACGAAACATTGTACCAAAACGAAGACTGTGCTGTACGCGCCCCTCAGACAACTACTCTCCTGCAGGCGAGGATTGTCACCCGGGGGGAGTGTGGCAGGAGTGCCGTCACAGTGGCAGAAGGAGAAGGAGAGAGAAAACGAAACCTGGGAAATTGCCCGCGCTCACTTTTTCTCCTCCCCGGACCTGAGTTCAAGAGCCTGTCTCGGAGTCGGGCAGTCTCCGGTTGGGAAGGCCCTCGATCATGACTTTTTCGTCCCGACCTGTGCAGATCCCCCACCTCTACCCATCTCCAGCTGACACGTTTGCTCTGAGAAGGGATTGGTGAATATCGCCCTCTCCCGGATCTCCGGAAATTCTCCCCAGCGCGCTGCATCCGCTTCTTCCCAAGCTCGGAGCGCCGCACACGCAGCGGGGCGGGACCTTCAGCTCAGGGCGACGGTGTCCTCGGTCCCCTCCCCGAGGGCCGAGGCCTCCAGAGCCCCAGATCCGGGACCCAGGCCCTGAGCCGGATCTGAGGAGCGCACTGGGCCCGAGCCCCTGCTGGAGCCCGGAGCTCGGCCGGGGAGAGAGCTCAGCCACACGCGCCCCCGGCTATGGCCCGGACCCCGCTCGGCTCTGCCGCTGAGTCCGCGCGCGGGGGAAAGCCCGCAGACCTTCCAGGACTTGCGGATTGCCAGCCCCGAATCCCTAAAGAGCTCGGCCCCGAGAGTCTCCTTGTGGTGTTTGGTGGCCGCCGCGAGCGGGCTTGGCGTCCCCCACGGCAGAGGGGAGGTCGAGGGGGAACTGGTTCCCGGTTCACCCTTCATCTCCTACCAGTCACCAGCCGAGGCCCTGCCCCGTGCTCGCATGGAGGCACCGAGATAGCCCTGGCCCAGCAAATGGCTCCTGGGTCGTCCTGGCGGGAGCGGGCCCAGGGCGAGGCGCGCAGGTGAGGTGCCAGGCTCGGGGCGCCCAGCCAGCGGCGCTTGGGGGCACCGGCTCGCTCCACCTGGCGTCCGCGCGGCCGGAGTGCCGCTGCGGCAGGCGGGCAGCGGCGGCGCAGCGACGGGCTGTGGCGCCACCTCCCGAGAAGACCTAGCAGGAAGCGCGGCTCCGCAGGTGGCCCGCGGCGCGCGCCTTCCGGGTGGCCGGAGTGCCCCTCGGCCAGCGATTTGCCCTCTCAACGCCCCGAAACACCTCCAGAAATGCCTGTGGCAGCAATTACTACGCCGATGGTCGCTGTCCTCCCCAAGTGATGAAAGGGAGGTCCTAGCACCCCAGGAAGATCTTGTGCCCCTGCCTGGGGAAGGCGAAAAGGCTGCAGCGGCCCTGGGACGCGATGGCCTTGTGTCGGCTATCAAGGGATCTCGGACCCCCCTCACGTACGTGAAAACCGGTCCCCAAGAGTCCAGCAAGGAGAAGTAGGAGGAGGTGACTGGAGGGGAGAGGTGTTTGTGGCCCCCAAGGTAGGCTCCAGGTTGCAGTGGAGTCAAGCCGTCGGCAAGGGATCCAGCTCTGCTCCTCAGACTCGAGCAGAGCAGCCTGTCTGCGGCCACCTCCACTCCCTCTCCGAGGACGCACCCGGCCACTCTCTGCACCACCGCGGGCGATAGACAGATTGTCCCCTCCGTTCCTGCCAACCAGGTTAGAAGTTTTTGGTGAAAGTAACATTTTAAAAAAGAAATGAAGTCACCGGGTGGGAACAAAACATTCAGAAATATAGAAAGAAAGAACAGTTTTCAGAGTTAGGTTTCTGGGGCTAATTACAGTCCATCGACACCTCTTCCTCCTTTCTGGAGCTCACTATTCCTGAGCCCTTTCCTCTGGCTTCATCTTTGCCTCATTTTGAAAACTTGGGCTTTTTGGTTAGTGAGCGCTGTTCACTTGAGTGAAACAATAACAGAATCGTAGGTAATTTCTCTTTACACCTTAACAACTACTGTAAGCCCACCTTGTGTAAATCAGCCACGGACGGTGAATGCAGGCACTGGATCTTCCCTACAAGCTATCCCTGGTGAACTGCTCTGGGTCATCTTCTTGCTGTAGTTACTGCATCACTGCCATCTTGATTTTGGCCCAGGGAGGTGTTGCTGCCCTTTTAAAGCTCTGGCCAGGGGGCCATAGGTACCAATTCTCATTTGTGAGGAATGGCACGCTCTCATATGCAACACATAATTTATTGAGCACCTGCCATGTGTCAGGCCCTGTGCTAGGTGCTGGGGGTGTGATGACAAAGAAGGAAGACATGGCCTCATGAACAAGCTGGACTATTTGGCTGATAAAATATGGCTCTCAGCTTGGGGTTCTCTATAGGGCTCACTGTTTCCTCCTCGCAAAGGCAAATTTTCTCTTCCATCCTCAAGTGTCCTCAAATACAATTAGCCTCTTTAGAAGTTACGGAGAGGGAGGCCACAAGACAAGTGGATTCTCCAGCCAAGCTGAAACCCTCTCTGTGCCCTTCAATGTGAAATGTGGAAAACGCCCAAGAAGCAAGGCCCGGATGCGAGGCATCAGCTCTCCCTCGGAGCTCTCCTCCACAGGGAGCTGGAGGGTTGTGGTGGATTTGGCTCCAGGCTTCATCCCTTGAACCTTTCCTGCCACTCTTTTCAGAGGCCTCACTTCCTGGGCCTAAGTGGAAGCCACAAACCATAAGCTCTTGCAAGGTCAGTAAACATGATTTCCCTTTTTGATCAGGCTGCTAGAACCAGGGAAGGCTTACATCTTACGTTTGCACGTTTTGCAGTTTTGTGAAACACTTTTACACATATTACTCCATTTATTAGTCATGATAAACTTTGACAGTCCACCTATGGGGAATCGGAGGCGTGGAGAAATAGTGACTTTTATCTAAAATGGAAAGAAAATGAAAGGCAGCAGAGTAGATACAGCTATAGATTAGTATTTCAATAAGGCTTTTGACAAAGCTCTTTATGGCAGCCTTGGGGCCAAGATAGAGAAATATGGCCTGGGTGATGGAATTGGTTGAATGGCTCATTCACTCATTCATTCTTCAAAATAACAGTTTTTATTTTAAGCGTATTCTATGTGCCAGGAGCTGGGCTCAGTACTGGAGATATAAACATAGATAAATCACTGTCCTTAGGGAGCTCACAGTTGAGTGAGGACAGAGACGTGTAAAAACATAATAGTAGTAAGACATGAAGATAATGTTATATTGGAGTCAGACACAGAATGTTGTAAGAATGCAAGGAGGCCCCAAACGTGGTCTTCAGGCTGATGAGAACCTGTTGGCATGTTCTCATGTTTGTAGGAAATATGACACTTAGAAAGGATAAGAAATGTGAAAGAGGACACCATCAGTATACAAAAATATCTTAAATAGACGGGATAATTGGCCATAACTAACCCTAATCAATATATGGTAAGTGTAAAATTCTACATTCAGATACAAAATAATTGCACAAACGTCTGAAGGGACTGTCAGAGATAGCAGCATAGGTAAACTCAAGGCCTCCAGTTGATTGCAAGCTCAACATGAGCCCATAATGTTAATGTTCTTAGTGTGTGCTAAAGATGTAGAGTATCCAACATAAGGATGGTTATTTTCTCCACTAGCCTTGGAACGTGTCTCAGTTCTGGTCTCCACGCCTTTAAGAGGGAGGTTGACAACAAGAGTGTATGTGCAAAGGGATGTCACTATAATGGTGAAAGATCCTAAACCATCAGTGGCTGATATAACTGGGATTATTGATAGACTGGAAGACTCAGGAAGGACAGCATAACTGTCCTCAAATACTTGAAAGCCTCCCATATAGAAAAGATGTTGAACTTATTCTGTTCAAGTAGTACAGTCAAGGTTTTCTCAGCCTTTAATTCAGAGTTTGATACGGCAAGCCATCCTGTATGAGCTCAACTGTCCTTTGCCGGTAGATGCTCCATGAATGTAGGGGCCAAGTCTGTCTTATTCACTCAGTGACTCCAGTCTTTGCTCATAGAAGGCAGTCAATGAAATTCTGTTGTAGGAATGAATAAATGAATTATTCTATGTGGCTCCAAAGGACAGAACTGAGACTCAAGGCCAAAATGTAAAGTTGAACGACAAATAAAGTCAATTAATTTGGCTATTAATTAGGATCATTGATGTAAGTAAAGATGCATGGTACAGATTTTTAATTTCAATCATCACTCACCTGTTTGGCAAGGAATTTTTATTATCCTTAAATTTTTTCTTCCCTGAGGGATGTTAATTAAAGAGACGGTAAATGGGCCTTAATGGACCTTGGTTGGCATTCGGCTCCTTAATAACTGGAGGACACACTATCACATAGGTTCTCCTTGACAGTGGGAGGAACATAGGGAAGGAGGGCCTAGATAAGATCTTATTTGATCTTAGCTGCAATTTAGACCTGTCGGTGGTGGTCTCAAGAATATCTAGGTCGACTAGGGAAAAGGTTGTTTCTGTTTGGCTTTGTTCTTTTTTAGTTTAGTGGGTTTCAAACTTTTTTCAAAGGGACCGCTTGCATGTTGTGTAAAAAAGATAGCAATAAACCCTGGTTGTGGAACCTAGAAGAACGGAGTAGCCCTAGGGTTCCAGAGAATTCAGTCTCTAAACCACTGATCTATTTTATTCCAGATGAAATGGCCACACGCCCTGACCAAACTGGAGTATCAAATTCAGTTTGGATAGAATGACTTCTAGCTCTTATCAGCTGTTGATTTTTCACTCATCAGTTATACTTTGCTGCTTTCTCTCTACTGGTCTTTATTCAGAGTTTTAGCAAGTAGCATCTCCCCTAAACTAGATCTGTTGCAGTTGGTCAGCAGATCGTGGAGGCTTGCTAGTTCTTATAGCTTGTGCAGATGAGAGGTGATGAGGAATGCCAAGGGATGCCAGCTCCTGGCCTTCAGAATGCTCACTTACTTTCTCCGTCATACCAACGTAAAGAAAGATGTCAGATGTCAGTTCCTCCCTTGTCTGTTCCCTAAAGCAGTAACGTTTTCTTGTTATGGAGCATCTCAAAATACTTGTGGATTAACATTGGAATTGAGGGAGATAAAGAAAAGATAACAGCCCCACTTTGCTGGGGAGGAAATACAGTGTTGTCCTCTCCCTCCCATCTCCTCCCATGCACAGAATCAGTTATTGGAACAATTGCTTAAACGCTGCATGTAATTATCTCAATGACAAGACACCTAGTGATAATAACAATAGCTAATATTTATTTGTCTGTCCTCTGTGCTGGGCATTGTGCTAAGCACATAACATCTTATTTAATCCTCACAACAATGCCGTGAGGGAGGGGCTATTATGATCCTTGTTCTAAAGATGTGGAAACCCCAGTGCAGGACAGTTAAGTAACTTGCGTGAGGTCACATAGGTGTTACGTGGTCATCTAATAATTCAGAGCATCTTCATTGCCAGGTCAAGATACCTAATTTCTTACTCTTGTCTAATGCTAGAATCATAGGGGGATGGAAAGCAAGGGAGTGAAACTTGTTTTTGAGCCATCACTTTATTTTTATTTAAAAATTTGTTGTTGAAAGACATTTTTGCGTAGTAGAGTTCATATTTTATTTGCATTGGTTTCCGTTATTCAGATTTCTTGGTCCAGCTGCCTCGAGAAGCCACATTCTCTGATATGTAATTCTGTCCCAAAAGTGTTGGGCATGCTCAAGTAATATCCGCTTGAGTCTCATTTTATAGCTACTTCCTTTGAAGCTGGTCCTGTCTGAGCCGTCACCATAGAGTTTGAAGGGTCTTAAGGCAGCCAAACTGCCCTTAGTCTTCTGAATCCTGAAAACGGTACCTTTGACTTACTAATAAGAAGAATTCTGGCAATCAGAGGTAGCACTTAGACACTGCTTATCTTATGCTGGCACAGTCTAAGCACCGCATGCATTTAATCCTCACAAAACCCCTATGAAGTAGATATTATTAGTCCCATTTTATCAGTGAGCAAACAGAAGCAAGAAAGATCAAATAGCTGGTCCAAGTTCACATAAGACATGTATTAGCACTTTGGGGTAGACCCCATCGCGTGCTGTAGGCTTGAGAGAGTCAGTTATTAAATTTTTAGGAATTCAGTGAGCCAATTATTAAATTCAGCCATTGCTAACACTAAATTACTATATAAATTTACAATTAAATTATTTTTAAAACAAGGTAATAAATATTTAAAATTCATTTCTTCCTTATTATATTATTACATTTTACTATTATCTGTGTCCTTGAGGTTATTTATATCTCCTGTGTGCATATGGTGGAAATACCATGTAATAACTGGTATTAATAAAATGGTGAGCTACTGTGTACCTCCTTCCGACTCTGTGTTCAGCGACGTCACGACGGTAGCTTTAAATTTGCTGTGGTGGAGGATTTACACCACAGAAATAGGCAATTGCTCCAAACGTGGCTTTTTCCCCCCAGAGAGCCCATTTCTAAATACTGACTAGCACACCACGACACAGACCTCTAGGCCCAACACTGTTAAGCACAGAACCTGAAGAACCTAAGAAGGGAGGAAATGAGAAAATATGTTAGAAGTGTGGTTAGGAAGCTTGGTTTCTGGAGGCAGACTGGCTGAGTTGAATCACAGCTCGGTCACTTCCTGGCTATAGGGAAAGCTAGTACATTGCCTCAGCATTTCAAGCTGTTATTCTTTGCTAAACATCAGGCAAAATAAAAGTTAAATTGGGATAGTTTTAAAAACGTTTTACGATCCACATGTTAGAAAAGACTCTCAGGTGACAATTAGCTGCACCATACATATTTTTTTAGTGCCAGTAGTTGCAAAATCTCTACTAAATCTTACGTATTTTAGGAATATTTAGTGGCAAAAACTTAAGGTTCTAAACTGGAGTTTTGTATAACGTAATTCATTGCTGACCACAACAGATTATCTCCTTGAGAGGGAGCGGAGAACCATCCAAAAAAGGTGACTGTTTCCGTTTACTCATTGGTCTCATCCATTCACTCTTTCTGCCATGTGCAGGGTGTGAGAGGGTAAAGAGATTATCTAACAGATGCCCGCTATCCAAGTTCTCACAACACAGGGGAAGAAATAGCCACACAAACACCTAATCACAAGTAACGTGACAGATTATTTGATGAGTGCAAACTTTTGGGAGAATAAAGAATGCAGTGATTATCTTGAAGAGATAAACAATATGCTAAATGTTTATGTAAGACGAGGTAGGAAGACATTAATCTTGACAGGCTAAAGTCAAGGGCTTCTGTCCATTAATCTAAGGATGTGCTCAGGTTTAAACATTTGTTGGTTACAGATCATTTTAGCAGAGTCTTATGACTATTCTTAAGGCAAGGGTGTGGGGGGGGGGGGCTCGTTCTCAGGATTTTTGTTTTGTTTTGCATTGCTTTACTGAGAAGGGAACTAAATCAAGCACAGTGTAAGATACCCCACCTGTAAGTGATCATGAAGCGTGTGGGGTTCATTGGAAATAGCTCTGGACTTGGGATGTAAGAGAACTGGGTTCAGGTCTAGCTTTTGCCCCCAATTACTTTGGGAAGCTGTCTTCTCTCTCTGGATCATCTATAGAATCTGGGGCTTAAATAAATGATCCATGAGCACCCTTCAAGCTCTAATCCCCTGAGATTGTCTTGGGAGAAAGGTAGGGGAAAAGGAAGATGTGCATTGAGAGACATTTCTGTCTTGTAAGGTCTCTAGACTTGACTACTTATGTTGAGAATGGATAAAAAGATGGAGATATTGGAGATCGGGGTTACCGTCCATACTGTGGATGAACGTCCTGTCAGAGTCTTTCCTGGATCTAGCTGCAAGAGCCTGGCTCAGGATACACCTGAACTGTGGTAAGACAGGCGATGCTATAAAAGAATCCAGGGTTAACTATTTCAGTTAGGTCTAAATTCTTTGGAACTGTACGTTACATTTGCAAAGGAGGGCTATGATGTGGGAGTTCGTCTCTAAATGTGAGGATTTGATAAACCTGTCTATTAAGTGCTTCTCTTACTATCACTCTCATATGGAATGCCTATTTTCACTTAGACCTGAATTTTCTTAAAATTCATTCTTACCTCTCTATCCCTTCCAGCCCCTCACCACCCAGACCACATCTCCCCGGACTTACTATGTGTTGCTGCTTCCAGCTATGTGACTTTACTCACACTAATTCCCAGAAGACCAAGCATTCGTACGGATAACATGAAAGGTTACTGATTAATTTTTGTGATTTTTTTTCCGTGTCTTTTTCTCCCCATGTGGAACTCTCATTGGTTTCAAAGAGTTATAAATACATGCTTGTTCTTTGTGTCTTTTGTGAATACCTGGGAAAGAACTGTCTCAAAAAAGCGCACCTTTAACATCCCTGGTGTTGGAAATGCTTAGGGGTCAGAGTCAAGTGTGGGTGCACATGTGCGGCTCACATTGTGAGGTCAGAGCGGCCTCCTGCTAAGTCTCACATGTCGTTTAGAACTAGTGTTACTTTCTCCGACAGAGGAAGCCTTAAGGTTTCGATCAGCTATTTGTCAGCAATAGCGCAAGAGATGTTAAAGTCCATCTTAACTGGGGTGCATTGTTATGATCCGAAGAATGAATGTGCTATGTCTTGACCCTCGGATATTCATGGATCTCCCGTGGTGAGGCTGAGAAATTAAAAACATAAGGTGTGCACATGAAGTCTGAATCTACCTAGACCGGGGTGAATTTTGGAAGACTCTCAGTGGTATGACTCACCAGCCTTAGTTACCCAGGTTACTTATTTATACAGGCTCTCTATTTCCAAGAGGAAAATATTGACTGAGTGGAGAGAAAATATTGATGGAGAGGAGGACCCGTTCTGTTGTCCATGGGTTAGATGTTAATAGAGGAGGAAGGGATCCAAAATCCAGGCAAAGGACATAGAGACTGGAGTTCATACAGCCAAGTCTCAGGGGGATTTCACGGCCTTTTGTTATTACAAAGCAGTACATATGGCAGCAAATTAGAAAATAAAAACAAACATACAGTCAAAGCATTAAAACATATTCCTACCGACAGAAGACACCGCTGTCAATTTTTAGTGTGTATTCTTCCAGATCTTTTTCTGTGTGTGTGTGTTTGCTAAATGATATCATATGGTACTTGATTGTATTTTATCAACAATCTCTACCATTCTATGTTTTCAGTCTTCATCCCATAAAATAACTAGATCAATTTCAAATTGATTGGTGATTCCAAAGCGCCCTTTACAGAATCTAACTCAGGACCACTCTGGCACCTAGTTGTGTCCCTCAGGTCTAGGTATGACTTTAGCATAGCTGACTGAAGAGGCTAAGCCAGTTGTCCCCAGTCGGTCATACTTTCTGGTGTGTTTGGCTGTTTCCTCATACTCTTGTTTGCCCACTCCACTACCTCTCATGTATCCTTTAAATTGGAACTTTGGCTTTTGATTGGAAGGTTTTGAGTGGGAGACAATAAGTACCTGAAGATTTTATGAAGATCAAGAAATGATTGTCATTAAAAATGATGTGCAAGAATACATCACGTGCCAAGAAACAGGGGAGAAAGCACACATTAAAGGGATCGTGCTGGCTGGAGCTGAAAGAGTTTCCTATGGTCATTTGGGAATTCCCAGAAATAATAGGGAAATACTAAGCGGGAGATAAGTTCCCAAACGGGCAAATGAAATTCAGACCATTACAGTTTGGGCATAAATATAAATATGATCTCAATTATATTCAGAGGCTTGTAACATTTGGGTTACACCTGGAAGGATGTTCAAGATATATGACTATACAGGTAATGCATGCACATGGTTAAAAAATCACCCCAAATAGGGATTTGTGAAATAAAACGTAAATTCTCCCTTTCCTTGATCCCCACCATCCCCTCACTCTCCTAATAGTTTCTGTTCTGCTTATGTTGTAACAGTTATCATTGCAACTTTTAAAATATATAATATTGTTATGTTTCTATTTCTTATTTTTATTGAATTTAGGCATTATACATTAGCCTCTAGGTACAAAATATGAGGAATCTGGATCTTGAATGGCTTCTCATCTCTCCTTCTGCTTAACTCCTTTTTTTTTTTTTTTTTTGCATTAGTATTTATAGTGATTACAAGCTTCCTAAACCAGAGTCTTCTCTCCTTTGTCTATAGGCTGGTTATAATAATTAAAAACCAATGTGAAACGTTCATAAAATTATTACCACATGAATACAAATATCTCTAGAGAAGAAAATGTCATCGTCAATCTTGAACATTTTCTCACTCAAACAGTAATCTTCCATACACTCCTGTCTAAAGATTGCCTTTAATTTTCTTTTTCACTGCTATAAATCTTCCTGGGTCATATCGGGTAGCTGCAGCTTCTTATATCTCATGTTTTCTTCTTTCTTGGCTTATTTTTAGATTTTGCTGGATTACTTCAGACGTAATATTTTCTTATTGAGTGTGTCGTTACTCAACTTACCGAATTCTTATGTGTCTGCAAGTGCCTTTCTTTAGCCCTCACACCTGAAATGTGGCTGGGTCTAGGAAACTAGGTTCAAAACAGATTCTCCTCAGAACTTTGCAGACACTGCTCCCTTGCCTTTTGATGCTCTGTGATGCCAATGCGAAGCTGCTGTCAGGCTGGGGGTCCTCAACAGTTGCCAAAGTCAGGAGAGCTTTTCTCCGAGGTGAAGATCTTCAGGGTTATCCACTCCTGGGTGGCTCAGCCCATTTTCCTGAGCTGTTATGGGAGTCCAGATATATCTTAAGCTTGGCTCTGCTTTTTTAGCTTGCAACTTGTTCACCGGTAGTCCTCCCAGACATAGTTCCTAGTCCTTTGGAAGACAGAAGCTTCCTCACTAGTCATCTATTTACAGAGGGAGAGAGAGAGAGAGCCCCTCTCATCCCAACTGTCCTAAGTGTAATTCTTCAACATTTCAGACTAATTTGTAAATTCTGAGCTGGAATCCGCTGGGGCGCTCCCCTGCAAAAGTTAGCCTTGATCTTTGGCGGGGAGGAGCTTTGCTGTAACTTCTCTGCTTAACCAGATACCTTTTTTTTCCTATTGATTAGAATTCTTCAAATTTTCTGACTCACTGAAGACCCTTAGTCTTGTTTTTTGCTGCTGTCATGGTTTGAATTTAAAAACTAACTTTTTTTATCATTTCAATGGGAACTTTGGAGACAGAGTGGGAAGATGTGTGCAGAAATGCAAGACACATTGTTAAGCAAAAAGTACAAAAATGTATGTACACATACACACACATACAGAGAAATATTGGAATGATAGTGCGGCTAAAACTTAGCATTGGTTATCCTGGGTGGTAGGAAAATGCTTATTTGTGTTCACTAAATTTTTTTACAATGAGCATGTTTTACTTTTGTAATGATAAAGACAACAAGGGGTGTGTGCATATGTGCGTGCACGTGTGTGTTAAAGAAGGAAATGACGGCCAGATAGGGAGCAAGAGTATAAACCTACACAGGAATAGAGGTTTCCAGTTGGTCTGTACCTGTCCTCCTCCTGCCCTGTGGTGCAATGCAATGTAAACCATTTACATGCACACTAACCTTACATGAGCCCCTCGGCAAAATCAGATCGAGAACGTGAAATGTTTACTGAGCACTTACTATGTGCAGTGCTAGGCAATGCAGCATGAGAGCGCTGCTCCAGATGAGGGTAGAACTCAGGAGGGGAGAGTAGCAAAAGGCCAGCTCTGAGTTAGATCCATCCAATGAGGTCCGGTCAGCTGTGTACTGAAGGGTCCCTCAAGAGACTAGTAAATTCTGGCCTCCTTCCAAGTTTTCCAATCTTTGAGACTATAAATGTCACGTTACCCATTTAATCGGATTCCAAGAGGGCTTCTTGGCAGAAAAATATGGGAACTACTGTGGCAGATCAACTACAAAGACAAACCAGTTTATTGGTCCAGGTTTCAGAAGAAACACTAGATGAAACTAAAATTTGCTGTAAGAAAAATGTGATAAATCTAGCATTACTTAAAAGCTTCTGAAGCAATGGAGAACAATGATAATAATAAGTTGCATACCTCTTCCACATGCACAGCTTCTGCCCTGTGACTTCAAAGAAAGCTCTTCAAGTCCAGAGGGAGATGCACAGCTCTGCCAAGCAGATATTTATGGGGCTGTTATGGCACCTAGGATGTTCCTGTTATACTCACCATTCGAATTTCCAGATTTCCAGGACCACAGAAAACAAAAGCCTGGAGGCATTTTTAAAGGGGATGCGCTTTTTCCTAAAACACAAATGATCAGATTTGCCTTGTTATCGTTCAATTTTGAACTCTTGGTGTTAACTCTACTTATATAAGCTTCACCCATTTTAATATGGGGGAACAGAACTGTGAAAGTCCTTCAAGCAGCCTTAAGTGGAGTAGAGAGCTGGTAGCTATATGGTTAATTTAATAAATGTCACCAGACGAAGAATAACACGTAGACCTCGCACAATGGGGCTTAACAGAATAAGTGAAATCTGATGACCTGGTTTGGCGCAGAGCAGGCCATCCCTTTAATACTTAAGTCTGGGGCACTGCCACAGCCATGCCACACTCTTTGGCAGAAGGTCAGGGAGGGGCTGTGCTGCTGAGAGGAGTAATCTGAAGAATGCCCAGAGGTGGCGGGAGAGGGAGAAAGCGGTGACGGTGGCAGAGCCAGTGTTGGGCGGGGGTATCATCGCTGAGCGCCTGACAAAGCCAGCCCCGTCTCCTCCTTTGCAGGCTCTCAGGCTGTGATAGTGCGGGGAAGAAAATCCCTAAGAAACACAATTCTGACCTCTGGAGAGTGTAAGAGTCATTAGGAAAGGCTGAATAAATCAAGAGCAGGATATTTTAAGAATACTTCTGGGGAAATTCCAAGTTTCAAAGAGATAAGTCTTCGAGAGACTATCAGTGCTGTTATCTTGTAACTTCAAATTCTCAGAGGAGTCAGTGACTTCTGACATTAAAAGAAAAAAAGAAGCCTGGGGTGGAAGTAACTAACACTGAGGTGGTTTGATGTCCATCAGGCTAGTAGACCACAGACGGCAGCTATGTCTGCAAATTTAGGTGGATGATTAGGGGAAATTGTGTGTGTAAGGCAAACTCTTTCACTGTGTGACTGTTGAACAGCAATGAATTATCCTGTTGCAAGTTGCTTCATTTCTCCTCGCATTCACACAAATAATAATAATGATACGGTTCTTTGTAGTTATTCTTTTTTGATGCTTATCTAAGCCTCAG